TATTTCCCTCAGTATCACTCACAGTTCTGCATACGCTATTTTCTTGTATACGCTCAAGAGTAACAACTACTGTGAATCCGGGCCAGAATGCGGTATTGATTAGCTGCATTTCGAAAGGGTTTAATATTTTCCCGCTGGTCGTACTCATGTCTGGGTATGCATGTAGAACAGACAACCTCGTTCCAAGATACCAAGTATAAAAAACAAGTGACAAGAGAGCTCCGACATCCGAAATTAGGAGATTAATTAAATTCTGCATAACAAACATTTCTGTTCATTTTTTTCTGAAACATCAAAAAAGAGCAAAACGGTCTTTTCTGACCACATCAATACACTGGTATTACTAAACATTACCATAGTCAATAAAATATAAAATACACTTAAAGAGCGTATCCGCCACAACAGAACGAACACCACAGCATATCGTAAGTCTGTAACAAGCAAACTTCCTTCCATTTTTAAGAATCAGCCGGTGAGCGTTGCAATCTTTCTTTAAATGGAATGGTATATTAATCGTTAAATATCTCTGTCCAACGCTTGATATACAAGAATACGTTTGTAACCTACATAGATCCAATGTACATAATTTAAACTGTTAAATTTCAATTGCCATAACAGTAAATTGTAGTGGTTTTGTCCATACAAGATCTGAACGAACATAAGTTAGAACCATTATAATCGAATTAACCTTTGTTGTTGTTTTTACTATTTACTTTATACAAAGTTTATACGTATGTAACATCATCACATAGGAACTGTCTTCGCAAATCTGTGTATAAAGATCTTATATTCACACACGCAAGCGCACTCACACATTGCTCGAGAACGCCAATTCCACGCGCCGCCATTACTGAGTACTGTGATATAGAATATATATTTACACCACAAGAAAACACGTTATACACGAACATGAGCACAAAAATACAAACAGACATATAATGATGTAACTGTAGCGTATTATGAAATAATACGCTAATATCCGTTGATTGAAGTTTACGCTGCTGTTTAGCCGAGTATTTCATGATAAACCAGTTGTTTCTAATCATTATTCAGAGATCTTTCAAGGATAAACGCACATGAAAATGGCACCAGAGCTTATATAGCAACAAAGTGAATATACAATTCTGTATTACCATCGCTTTTTGAAAATGAACAACCCTATACGTCCGTATTTCTCTGGTTAGTCAGCACCGATTCAACCTTGAATATAAACACCCAATAAACGTTTCATATTTACACTGTTTAAGTCTGTGAATTTAAATTCACAGGCCATATTGATAACAAAAGATAAACATTTTAGAATCACATGAAATCACGATAACGGTGACGGGATACTTATCTTGCATACATATACACACATTTTGTTAACTGGCTATCGTATGGGATGATATTAGCTAGAAATCTCAAAGAAATGATATCAAATTCAAAGTGAATTCTCGTTCGTTGTTCGTTATTTTACTGATACTTGATAGAAACAATGAACCGAGTTTTAATCTAATTTTTTGATTATGTTTGAAAGGCATTACGGACACTAAAGTTCTCGCAATATCCACATAATGTACGGATAACAGCCTAATCTTATATTATGAAATCATCAAAAACCTTATAAAGTTTTTGAAACAATAATGAAATACAAGGATCACCCTCTTAATGGTTTATATAAAACTAGCAGTACCTTTAAATTTGGATGCACTATGATGTCTTAAAACAGAAATTTAAAATCATTACCGGGTTAATGGTATTTTACGTACATTTTTCAATTAGAAACTCCTTAGTAATGATTTTAATACTTCATAGAAATCGAACGAAATAAACTATCACTGTATTTTATTTTATTTTTCTTAATGTTCAGCGACCTCTACATTAGTTTTATTGTTGTGTTACATTTTTATACTATAATTGTTTTGATACCAAATCAAGATATAAAGAGACAATACGGTTAAATAATTTCTATTATTACGACATCCTAGTTTTTTTTTCATTAAAAATACAAAAAAGCAGAAATATTTCTATGTAAATATCATCGTAACGTGTGTGGTTGTTCTTGGCTGGTTCTGTTAAATTATTTGGTGAAAATAATTCGAAGTCCAGTCCTCTTATTTCTTCCTTCACGTTCTTACAAGCTTGGAGACTGTTATAACTTATATGTCTCATTTACAGCCATGTTAATTATTCTACACTCACATAAAAATAAACTTACTTATACAAAATAACTCAATATGTGCGATAGCTAACAGAACCAGATACTTCATTAAAAACAAAACTAGGATTGAAGCGAAAACACACTGACTGATTCACTCTACCAGCTGGCAACAAACATCTATCCTATTGATGCTTCACTGACACCCCTTTTTTATATTACAACCTCGACTGTACTCGAAAATGTGGCGTTAAAATCTTTAGGACTTTCCAAGCCAACATTATTAAAGTTTTCGATCTTAACATCATCATTACAACATTAAAAATATAGCTTAAAACTGTAACTTACGCATAGTTTTAATAAATAAGTGGTTAGAATGGCTAGCTATTTTATAGAACTTTTAGCTTCTAGGCCTCAGAGCACTTAAAGTTTACGTTCACAGCTACAAAACAACTATTACTGCAAACTACTCGTCTTGGTTACTTTTTCGTTTCGAAAACAATCATCTGATTTCTCAATTTCAAAACGCTTGCGTCATGTTTTCAACGTAAAAATTTAGGGGGTTATAAAATATATTTAATCGGTCAGTAAAGAACTAAATTAAGCCAACCACTAAAACTGCCGACCCTCTTGTGCTAACGTTACCTAGTGGCCTCAGGCTCCTAGGTTCTATATGCCTCATGCATGTATGTATATAAGCTATTAAAAATCAAATCTTATTTTTACTTAATCTAAATGTGTATGGTGAATAAACATAAACTGTTTAATTTTGAAAAACATGATAAAAAACTGGCTCCAAGATTTAACCGACAAAAGCTATAGCTCTCAAGAACAAACTATTGCAAACACAAGAAGCCGAAACAGTTAACCCTTAAAATATCAAGAACGGTCAATATATTCTATGACCATTCTTGTGCATAGATTTCATAAAATAAGAACATTCAACGTTTAATAATGCACAATAATTTATTGTGTATTATGAATGTATTGGCACTGGGTCATATGTTTTAATAACATGGGCACATTTTCGTCACACGTCTGATAATAATCCATTAAACAACAATCAGCAGGATCTTATTTGGTTAAAAATAAAAAAAAAATGCTTAAAACAATAAAAAAACATGCATAAATCATGTTGGATATATATATTTATTTTGTATATTGGTAAGTAAATGGTTAAATAAACACCATTTTATACATAATACAAAACTATAACTCTTAAAATTCTGATCTTCACAGTCAAACATTTGTATGGGGGGCATGCACAAATCTCATGAAGTTGAAGCTTATATATGTGCAAACGGTAAGAGTCACACTCACTTCTGACAGCATTTTCTGGCATACATGTTCTGGGTTATATTCGCACTGTTTAAATCTTGTTCCGTCTATATTATACTGTCTATATTTACAATTTCAATATTAATTTCATGTTTCCTACGAGATGTCACATTTACAAACCGACATGTGGTTGCATACAAATACACAAACTAAAAGTTAACTTTCTAATCCTAATTATCATTTTATCTATTATTACGTATTCTGATTTTTATTTGTGACAAACATTAACATTGATGATAATTTTTCCTCTTCGATTTTTACAGTATATTCGACCGTTTTCCATTTGAAACACACAATTAAATTTAAGCCTCCGCGTTTCCATAGCAGTTAAATTAAAATTAAAGGATGAATTTATAAATAAAAAGACAATATCAAACTAAATTAATAACTCGTAATAGGAATACATTTTATTTTTATTCATAAGAGAAACTCTAACAGCAATAAATCTGACATGACACAGCATGGGCATCCGCAAAGGGAGGGGAGGAAAGGGGGCACCTGTACCTAAGGATTATCAATTCTGCATTTCCATAATTTTAGATCCTGGCTGTTAGGACGCTGGACTCACAATCTGCTGGTCGCGGGTTCGAATCCCCGTCCCACCAAACATATTCGCCCTTTCAGCCGTGGAGGTATTATAATGTGACGGTAAATCACACTATTCGTTGGTAAAACAGTAATCCAAGAGTTGGCGGTAGGTGGTGGTGACTAGCTGCCTTCCCTCTAGTCTTTCACTACTAAATTAGGGACGGCTAGCGCAGATAGCCCTCGTGTAGTTTTGCGCGAACTTCCAATCAAACCAAACCAAAATCCTAGTTATAGCTTTGATATCATTTTCTCATCTTGCTCCCCCCCCCCTCTGTAATATATCCTGCGGACGTCCTTGTGATACAGATGTTGTTTTTCATTATATCCTAAGCATATATACGAGTTCGTTGAAGCATTTCAAGCTGTGTTCTTATTTCTTCATGCCTCAGACAGTTATAATAGGGTAGTCAACTTGTAGAATTGATTATCGTAAGAACATGGAAAGGGATAAGTTTCATACGGCAGTTACTGAGAGGGTACCTAACATTCCTATAAATTAATAACGATAATAGCGTATGTATGAAATCATATACTTACTTTAAAACATGGATATTAAACTTCGAATTAAAAACTTAAAAGAAAAATAAAAGTTATGACGCCAATTTTTCGAAATTAACTTCATTAAAACCATGAAAAAATATTACGCTGAGTCGGCGAGTACTTGCTAATCGTACCAGCACGCCAAGAAGCCAGTGGATCAATACACTCACATAATAACATTAACAGAACCTGATCTTGTTTTTTACTTCTAGGTAATGAGCACTGAGCATAAATTTCAATTAAACATTTCAAGAAGATATGCTGTTGATGACTGAAAAAAATATAACGTAAATTTTACTAGAAATTGAAACCTTTCCATAAATATATTACAAAAAATGTAAACATATCGAATCTGACTTAGTATGTGTACTCAGTCTAAAATATAATGTCTTACCGCTATGCTGGTGGCAGAACTCGATTACTTCTCGTCTTGCCCTGGGCTATCAACAAACATACCACGGTGCTCCTCACCGACTCAGTTTACAGGTTCTCCACTTAAAAAAGTAATGTTTTTCAGCGAATTTGTCAGTCATGACTCTGCACTAGTGAATCAAACGAGCTGGCTTTAGAAAGAATTCTGTCCCGCAACTGAAACGTCAAAAACACAATCTCACACAGATATAAGGCGACATCTGGCGGACAATAATTTGTACTTCTTAAAGCTATTAATTGGCACAGCAGAAATACATCAGTGAATTTTAAAACTTACGATACTCAATACACACTATTTAAAAGTACCTTTTTTGTATTGCTTTAGCACTAGGAACCAACGTGATTATACGTAGATTAAACAAAATATTTCCACATAGTTAATTCACTATTACTATGTTATTCGTTTCCAGGAACTGATACAATAAACTAAAAAAAATACTAAAGTACAGGTCTTGTATTTCACAGTATGGTGTGCTAAAATTCAAGTGAAAGTACCTTAAAATACATAAGTGCCCACCCAATAACTTGATCCACGGTACATTAAAAATGAAATTCATCGATCTTAATGCATACACCACTTACAAGATGCGTTCTCCAAACGCTGATCCGATAGCTTATTTGCATGATAATTATCGCACATTCTGAATAGCTTATACCTTATAATAAAAATTGCCCCATTCTTTTGCATAAACGATCTTAAAAAGTCGATTTGTAAACCTTCTCACTTTCAAACATAAACATTCTTAAAAACTCTAGTAACAAAATACTCGACACTCTCTGCACACGTGATTAAACAGGGTAACTTAAAACTCCTCGTCAAACGTTTATTCACTTTTAATTTTCCTATACGTATATTTTAGTGATGTTATTTAATGAGGGCACTGCATCCACAGGTGCATTATTAACGTTATTTAACAAGTTACTTCTCGAAATCAGAATGCCTACATAACTTATTGCACGTCTACCAATTTCAAAAGCATAAATTTTTTGAGCTTACTTAATTTAACATCTGAATTACAGAGCCCAATTTTACAATTAATAAAAATTAATTTCATATATTACG